TTTGATGGAGTATCACAAAATTTGGTACAGATATCTATATATATGTATCTATGTAGGCTCCCATTTGGAGTTCTGAGTGTAATGTCTTGGCAACTTTTGGATGGATTGCCATAAAATTTGGTGGACATTCATTTTCCCTTCAAGACAAGCTATGCTTTGGTGAGCCCTTGACATTTCCACGAGGGCCATCGTAAGGTTTTAATTTGTCCACAACTTTTGTTGATGACCAAATACCTGCAAAACTAATCATCAGCCTCAGCTGTACTTGTTTACTTACCAAATGTAAGCATGCTCAACATTATAAACATTATACCTGCAGCATGTTAGCATTGTTATTATGTTAGCATGCTGACCACAGCAGATAACCCAAAGTATTGACTTGTAGAAGAAAACGTGTGACTGCTCAAGCCAATTCTCAGAGTAGTTAAGCCCAAGTCAATGCTCTTGTCATCTCTGTGTGACTTACATGTGACTCGACTCCAAGTCTCAAGTCCACGGCTCTTATGTGATTACATGCGTTTCTAATCTATGCGTGTCTATAGTTACATTGTTGCATAGTTACAATTTGATCCATCTTTTCACTGTGTGTATGTACTTCTGTCTGTGTAACCACTTTCCCCCTCCATCCCAATGTATCTCTTCTCCTCCCTCCATTGTCAGTCAAAATCATAATGCGCCTCCCCCATCATCTCCTCTCCTCTTTGTTCCTCTCCTCCATCTAGCCTCCAGAAAAGGCAGCGCCAGTGCAGTGCAAGCTACAGATAAGAGTCCACACACAAACACACTGCAAGCCCCCCCTACACACAAGCACCTTGTTTTGAGTGTTGACCACCCTAACACAAATACACAAGCGACACACTGTGTGGACGCTGTATTTTATGGTCTTGGCACTTCTGTAATTACCTTTGGGTAAAAATATCAAAATACAGCAAGCACTTATGAAATGCCACATAGGATCAACAAAGGGGTGCAGGGGTCCTGCTCGCCTCTCAGACAGTCATCCAGACTGAATGGAGAGGAGATTTGGGGATGAGAGCTGCTCCTGCATATTTTACAACCTGTTCTGCAACCATCTGCTCCCTAACACACTCACATGTGCACACACACACACGTGCATGCACACACAAATGCAGTCTTGCACAGCCAAGTATACCTTCCAGAAATGTGCCCCTATTTAACAGACATTGCACCTGGTAATATATGTACAAACAAAGACACAGACACAAGCAGCCACACCCACACCACTTTCATTATGCGAGTTAGGGAAGGGGTCGTCATCGTCTAACACACCTCACAGCAGCTCCCGCCTGTCGTATAAATACCATTACCAGATTGCCATGGAAACAGTTTGCCACAGCAAACCAGTCAGGGTGGTCAGACAGCCCTGAGGCGACCTTTATATCCAACGAGAGCCAACCCCTGTTAACAAACCTGCAGTGGTCTCGTTTAATAGCAACTTGTACTTCGGTGACCTTTGTACAAAGTGTGCTGTAGTAAATCAGCCATTAGGTCGAGACAAATGTATGCAGTTTGGCAAGAGCTTTAGTTCTATTTTAGACCATGATTTAATAACAGTATCCAACTGAAGGACATCTGATTAACTAGAAATAGATCATTTTCCACCAAAGAACTATTTGCCATCCGTGTAAGTGAAACAAGCTATTTGGAACCCAGATGTGGAGATTGCCGCTAGAAAACTAGTTAGAGTTTGTTGCAGT